TATTTATATGTAACCTTTGGGTTGGAATAAATAAACCTCAGGGTGCACTCCAAGGCTGCTTCAGCTAGTTCTGTGGTTAAAAACCGGGTGAAAATCACTTTTCATACACGCTGCTTTATATGATGTACAGGGGACGAACTGAACGGCTCTCTGTGGTCGACAATGTGACCTCAGGTTGGTTCGATACCGTGTAGGTACCTAATCTTCTAACAACTTTCCAATTTTTACGCGATGACTACAGGTGTTTCACCAGATGTTCGGTGATGAGCTCATTTGAGTCTCTCGTTACCATCTATGAGCGAGCAATATAATGGAGTTCTATCTCATCCTCTGCGTTATGTTTTCAATTCGAAGCTGCCTCTCTTTGGGCTCGAAGTAAACAAACTGAGGTTGGTGATTGCTCGCCTGTGTAGACAGAAGGGTAGCGGAATGTGGTACTCGATTGTGTGCCTAATTTTGGTCATTTGTCAAAAACCATTGTGTTCGCATTCACCACACTGCGTAAAATCACAAAAATCGGAACGAAACTAATTAGCCAAATGCACGTTAAACTTAGCGAAATGTAACTATTTGCTGAAAAATTTGGTTTTGCGAGAGGCGCACCTGGAACCCAGCCGAATCTCTCGTTTGTGATGTTTCCAGGCAACCAGGCCTGGGTTCTCCCCTCTGTATAACCTCCCGAAACACAGGGAGATTTTACAGCACGAATGTGAAGTTAACGGCCGATCTGAAAACCGAATTTGTATTAACGTGAGTTTCAGATGAAATTCACGCCTGCGGTTTTCCCCAACCAAATATGCTTTACCAATTTTACGCAAGGGCTGATATTCCATCGGTCAGAGTGGTTTTTCTACTCATGCTGCTCAATACCACGGTTAGTTTCCGGTTTATTTTCGGTTCATCAGGTACACACAACTGCAAAGTTTGCGCAAGTGTTCACTTCCATAGGTGGCGAGGTTAAATTTTTCCTGACTTCATATCCACGAGGAACATTCCTCGCAGCTAACAGTTGAGGATTTGTGGTGGGGTGAAGAGATTTAATAATTCTGAATGTGGATTTCATCTTATCAACGATGTTGAAAAGCCGAGAAGCTGTTTCATTGTTGTTGGGAGTCGGTGAGTGACTCACATCACCATCGGTCTGTGAGCCGGTCAGAGAACAAGTTCAGATGGGTAAAACTTCCTTCTGAGAAGCCGTCACTCGAGAAACCAATCAATACGTGACCACATCACGTGCCTTCTTTGATTAAAGCGTAAGGGGCACCTTTCCGAGTGAAAGCTAACCACGGTGATGATCAAACGTCCGAATGTCCAACCACTAGCCGGAAGGCTGCCGGTTCGAACCCCTAACTTTCGTGAGATGTGCATTGCCGATGATTTCAAACAGACGAAACAGCTGTACGGTGCTTTCCTACTTTTCTGCATGGTCGGCCTCTCTGACGGGCTGCAATGTACAATAGAAGCCACCGATTCATTAAAAGAATGCATATCTTGAGCAGATGAAGGATTCTGTCACTTCTTCATCTAGAAGTCTGATCTTGAATTTTCAAATTTGGATTTTCACTTGCACTGTACTCTCCTGCTTACATCCATCGATTAGTTTACCCCGGCGATGTAGCTTGTAGAAAAATGGACTGAACAATATTTTCCCAAAGCCATCTTGTGGTTGTGAATTCGGAAAGCAGTTCGAACCACGTAACCGTGCTCTGTCTATGAAGGACAGCCCAACGACGGCTGTCTTCAGCTGCTGCGCATACTCGCCATTCAGCAGCCTGCACTACGAACATTTTCATATTGGTTTGAACTAGTCACTGTACAAAAGCAGTTCCATTCATCATGAGTCATTCACAAAAAACAAAACGAGTGCAACTATGGTACTACCTACACTAGCTGGTCCATGTTAGCAAACCGTACTCTGCTTCATACAAGGTGATATTGACCGAAGTTAATCTGGTTTCAAGAGATTCAGTAAATCAAGCTTGTAATCGAGAAACACAGTTATACGAATGGCTGAGAGGCCCAGTTGAACTGATTTATTGCATCCAAAGATTGTTTCGATATTGACTGATCAACGGTGACCCATCGTACACTGACAAGAGTCTTGTGATATGCTTGTTTTGTCTTCAGTTAACCTTCACAGTAGAAAGCGCACGACTTACAACGTTGTTGCTTCGACTGGTCGATTGATTTGGAAGTTTGGAATCTGATCAAAGTCATCACTGACAGCAATACACAAGTAGTAAACACACTGGCTCTTAATTGTCACACAACAATGAAGGAAGAAAGCCTCAGTAAAGAGTGGAAAGAAAATGAAGGGCTGGGAACTAGAGTCCCATATCATGGAGATGTTCCATGCATCCATCCTTGTAGTCCCTTCAGGGGAATTTCAATTTCCATGAGTTACACCGTCAACATCCAGTTTCCGAAAAACTGCGCCCTGTGCGCAAAACAGGACTCCCGATGTTGACGTGATACGAACATGTTTGAATGTTGAGTGGTCCATCTGCTCCACCAGAGAACGCCATCACACTATCAGCCCACTTAGTCTAACAGGGGCGGGAAGCGAAAACTCAGTTGCCTAATCAGAATAAACTGAACAGTTCGGCAGAGCAGCGGAGAAAATCATTTTCAGATTAAAGCTAACGAAACCAGAACTTGTATGGTCTCACGCTCCACACTTGAATGACCAGAATAGAATAGTATCCCGTTGATTTACTTAACCACCAAGTTTCTAGGTCTGTTGGACGTCCCAACCGGCCGACAATCAGACAGTTAAGCTCAGTGGATTGGCTTTTTATCTGTTCGGTTGATTCAACTGTAACACTGTTGTTTTCTCTCTTGTTGAAATGGAAGGAAAAACTGAATGTCAAATAAAGTCACCAACGCCCACTGTTGGAAAGACCGAGGTCAGGTTACGTGTTCCGACTGACCTCGATGTACGAATGAGTACGAATCAGGCGGTTCGAAAAGAACGATCGATCGATTAAGCGAATCAGCAATGCGAGAAAATCTGCCGACGTACCAGTTGGCTTTGAAGGTAGATAAGTCTCTACAAAACATTGTAAAATCGGTAACCGAATGCAATAATGTGATAGTAGACTTAGATTGCCTTCCCTATTGAAAATCATGGAGCGACTTCGGCTACCTGATGTGTTAAAAAGTGAGTTCGAGTGTATTTGGCGTCCAGAGTTTGTGCATGGGTAAGTTAAGACTAATCTCGTGAGGACTTCGCAAGGCATAAGCGAGTACCGGGGAACTTCAAGTCAATGTTCGGAAATGAGGTCTCAAAACCACAAAAACACAATGCTCGGAGGCAAATCCACAATTAGTCTGACACTCGGTTTTTTCATGTTATTTGTGTCAACGCCTGAACGAAACTAGGAGAAAGACGCCTCTACTTTGACCCAACCCCACCGCCTACCAAATAGTGTCCGATTCCAACGCCAGCTTTTGACCTCGCCATAATGGGGGGGGGGGTTCACCACTTCTTGCTCCTAAATCCTCACCATGTCAGTTATGATCTCTTTAGCATAGTTCCAGGCGGAATTAACAGAGGTTTTTCTCACGTTACTCATTCCCTGCCGGCAAAATGTATGCGTGTCCTCAAAAAAATCGGCCGTGGTTCGTATAACTTAACTTTCGGTTTTTCTCCATCTCCAAAGTGCAGTTGATTATGTGGTAGAGTGCTGTCAGTTATGATCTCTTTAGCATGGTTCCAGGCGGACTTAACAGAGGCTTTCTCACGTTACTCATTCCCTGCCGGAAAAATGTATGCGTGTCCTCAAAAAAAATCGGCTGTGGTGCGTATAACTTAGCTTTCGGTTTTTCTCCATCGCCAAAGTGCAGTTGATTATGTGGTAGAGTGAAATGGACGTTCTAAATGCAACCGAAGTTTAAGTCGTTCTGCCATCAGGCAACGTGTCCTCTTCCCAAATCTCGGCCATAATCTTTCAGTGCAATTACTTATTTTTCTCGTGAAATGTATTACAGCGAACATGTCGCTAAAAATCTATTGTCTGTTGTCAGCATCACCGATGGTGAGGTATCAGTCGCACAATCGCAGAAAATTTCATTTAAACGACCCCCAGCCTTAGAGAGAGGAAACTTACTTGATTCTAGTCTAGACAAAACACTCCTGCGCACCCGAGGTTCCAAGCCTGAACAGGCCGACAACATGGACACCTATCGATTCAGTTGGCAATCACACCTTGCAACGGCTCAATTCAAGAACACACTGTGGAAGACGGGTCACATGCAACACTCCAAGTTTTCGTCACTCTTTATACACTTCTCTCAAGGCACACCTTGCGGAACTCGTGAGTTGCGTCTTCCAGAAGGGGGGAACGGCACTGGTCTCTGGGTATAGTATTCGTTGCACGTAACAGAGCTACAGTAAGATGTTTCACGTGGTTTCAATTTCTGACTAAACAAACACTCGAGGAAATTTGCGACGTCCGCCAACGGCAGCTACAGCTAGGAGACATCCGTGATCAAAAACAGGGAGACGCTTCAGATCGTCCGGGGAGATTTGGTCTTGCAACCACACAGCGGCACGCACTGAAGCCTAGTGCACACGACTCTTCAGACCAGAAGACTTGACTTCCTGGTACAACAAGTACCGTAAAGTGGTGGAAACGATTACGGCTTTTAAGATTAGTGCAGTTAGTTCAACAGAACTGGGCAACTACCAACATACATAAAACCCTATGCATCCTCCACTGCTACCATTTGAATTACGACGGTGTGCGTTCAGAAACTTCTAAAGCAAAACATAGCACTTGGCAGGGACAATGCGAGTACATTTCGATTTTAGATGACGGTATTATTCACGCGGATGGGGGACGTTGCACCGGGAATTTATCGTCACGGGACCAGACCATCTGGAAATCGCTCATAGTAAGGGACGTGAGCAGCATCCCTTCGGTAAGAACTTGACAGTACGATTGTTTTTTAGAACTCGTGAATACTTCCCACCCTGAAAGAGGATGACAAAAAGACGTGTGAAGAACTACAGGAATTTAATGCATCGCTCAATTGCCCTCCATGTATGAGTGATATTCGCAGTAGTGGTGGTAATAACGGAAGGCAATTCACCTGATTCGTTCGGCGGAATAAAAACAAAGTTCAAGGTAGTAGCACAGAAGCAAATCGGACAAATAAAAGTAGGGAAGAGGTTTAACAGGTAAAACAGACACGCAAGTGTTTTGGAATCGAAGCTGAAACGAAACGAAATGTCACTCTAGTCTACGTCTTAGGTGGTTTGCATCGCCTTGCCAACGTCGATGCCCGTCATTGATTGCACAACCTGTGGCAAACGAGCCATAAGAGTGAGCACTTCGCCAGTGAGTTTGGAAATACCAATCTCGCCATCTCCGGTGGAAACCATCGTGACCCGACCGCATTCAGAAAGTGGAGCGCTGACTTCAGCCGCAATCTTCGGAAGTGCTTCGAGAACCATGTCCAGTTTAGCCGCACCCTGAATTGAGGAATGTGGTGATGGAAAATGAAATGAAGTACTAAACTGTTGTAAACACCCATTCAGGAAATTTCCAAGGGACTGTTTCTGTCAATAGAGTCAGCGAAGAGCATGTTAGACGGTGCCCATACACGAGTTTCAGGAAAATAAGCATGTTACGGTTGGGAGCAAACTGTGTCAGGTTGCTAAGAAATGTCAGGAAAATAAGCATGTTATGGTTGGGAGCAAACTGTGTCAGGTTGCTAAGATACTATTTGCTAACGGTAATCAACTGGTTATGGGAGGATGGTTAGGACGATTTGCCAAGACCAGCTTCAATGCTTTGATGTCCCCTGACAAGAGGTTCCTACCAATCACCATCTCATAACCCAAGGATACCAACATAACCGGTGGAGGAAAATATGACATTCAGAGCCAACGTTCGACCTTTGCGTAGTTAAGGGCTAGTGATGAATGCAAGTCAGGAATAGAGTGCTACATGTTTCCCCTGTTGCCTTTTTTTTACAAATCAGTAGACTCCGCTAAAGGCATCACTGATACAGTTCTGTCAGACATTCAAAACCAACCTTGTAAGCTTGCCACGCCTCGGCTTTCTTCATCATCTGCTCAGCCTCCGCTTTTGCTACAGCTTCCAACGCCTCAGCCTCAGCCAGACCCTTCAACCGAATGCTTTCTGCCTCTGCTTCCGCCTCTGCCGTCAAAAGACTCCGCTGCATCACTGATACAGTTCTGTCAGACATTCAAAACCAACCTTGTAAGCTTGCCACGCCTCGGCTTTCTTCATCATCTGCTCAGCCTCCGCTTTTGCTACAGCTTCCAACGCCTCAGCCTCAGCCAGACCCTTCAACCGAATGCTTTCTGCCTCTGCTTCCGCCTCTGCCGTCAAACGCATGCGTTCCGCCTCGGCTAGCCGTTCCAAACGAAATCGTTCGGCTTCCGCTGGTTTTCGGACTGTGGCATCTAGGTGACGCTCCTGTCGTACGTTTTCCAGCTCTTCTACTTGAATTTGTTGTGTTCGCTCGAGAACAGCAATTTGCATCTCTTCTTCCTTGATCTTTTGTCGTGTTTTGGCGGCCTGTTCAGAAAATAGAAATCAAACCGAACAAGAGAGATGGGTGTGAAGATGACTGACGACTGGATAGTTCGTTTTCCAATATTTTATGAGATACAAAAAATCGAGGTGTCTTTACGAGAGAACATGCATGGTGGGACCGAAAGCTGCCCGGCAATCAAAAGTGTCAGAGGAATTGTGGGGCTGTTGGGGCCCGATAGACAAAAATGCATGATACCGTAAGACAAGGTGTCCCTTAAATGTGATGACTGACATGGGCCTATTGTATGAGGTTCGAATATTGTTAATAATTTCGACGCTGTCTCCACTCGAAGGCTCAGCTGATCGGGCGAAAACACACGGAATGGCCCAATGGGGGAAATCGACCGTGAACCTTCCAGCGAGGGAACCAGCAAATCAGAATGCAAAATGAACTGTTTGGACGTATCGCAGACATCCCATGTTCAGTCAACATGATCGGTAGACGATGAAAAACATGGAGCGATAAAGTCCAAACAAGAAGACGCTTAACTTTCAACTGACAGCACGCCATTGCGGGACGAGAATAAGAGGGAAACCAGAACAACCAATCAAAGGGTAAGACGGCGTACCTTTCTCATGAGGAACGCTTCCGGGGATTATCAGAAAATTTTCCATCTTGAAGTATTACTTATTGATGGAGGGTTGTATACAGAATCACATAATACAGAAAAGGCCAATATTATCAGCAAGAAGGGTCAAATCGCATTCCATAGTACCTGAATTTCATAGTAAATTCTCCAGTCCATTATGAGCCAGCTTATGCAATTGAGAAGCCAAATGTGTTGACATGGGAGATCACTATAAAAAACCAGTTTTTCTTCAACTGTGTTGGAACTGGCATGGTAATCAATAGGACAGAAAAGTCTCTTGGGTCAACCCCACGATAACTCTAACTGGACGATACCACTGTCAAGTGACTATATTTAGGAACGACGGTTATTTTTGGAGAAACAAGAGGCTCATATGCGTCTACTGCACAGCAGAATGTACCCTTCAGCAAAGAAGCGTCCGCCGTTTGGTTGCTAGTTTTTTGCTTTCTCGTTCAAACCACGCGAAAAGAGTCCTTTTGTCGCTTCGTGGATGATTCATCTTGTCAGCTTTTTATGTGAAACCGCAAGTTTTCCCTTCACCCTACAACCAGGTGTTGGTTCCCAAAAGCCGCTGGAACATCATGACAGCAAACAATATCTGATTGGTTTCAACTTTCAAACAATGGAGGGCATTGACTTTTGGGTGACTTTGTCTACCTTCCTTTCAATCAGAGCATCTAAATTTTGATGGAAAAAACAGCTCACCTGCAATTCATAGGCCATCTCTGATTCCGCCTTACGAGCTTGCACCTCCTTCTCATAGCCGGCGTTTTGTAGCTCAAAGTCGCGTTTGGCTTTGGCGATTTCGACATCGTTCAGCAACCGACCGGCAACACGTTTTTGTTCAGCCTCGGCCTCTCGAATGCCTGCATCTCTGCGAGCCTCAGCCTCACCAATCCGAGCATCTCGTTTCACCTGAGCAGTTCTGGCTAAACCTAGCGACTCCAAATAACCCTAGATGAATACAAAAGACAAAGCGGATAAAATCAAAGTTGATTCCCCCCGGAATCACCATGCGGTACAAATGCATAAAAATAGGCCGTTCACAACCAAAAGCATTTACTTCCCATATTTATACCTTGTGATTAATGGTCGAACAGACTTTTGGTACACATAGGCATAACTCTACCACCATAACAGACGTGAGCGTTGTTCCATGCTTTATCTCCTCCGCGACATGAGTCTATTTACCCATGGCAACCGTAGCTCTCTATTTCTTACAATATTTTAGCCTAACTGGATAGCAAAAGCAGCCAAAAGTGTTGTTTTTGAGCCAGTTTGTGAATTTATTAGATGTGATGGTTATCGCCGGATGACTGAGCGCCGCATGGAGATCTTCAGCAATCGAACCTATTTCTAGGGGGAGCTTATATCATTAAGATGCCAGTGTGTCAGGTCACCACACCACTACCATCGTGCGGACGTTAGTTAATGTCACTGCTGATGTACTCGAAAACATTTTGTAAGCTCCCAAATTGCCACCGTCGTGCTGACCACGCCGCTTATACTATTTTCATACATCGACTCTAGGTTGTCACCTTCCTGCCACTTATCAACTTTTGCGCTAAAATCACTCCCCTATCGTCACTGACCCAACTTTTTAATGAAGAATTTGTTACACGTAGGTTTTTATTGATATAGAGACGACTGAACTCAGAGGCATCGTTTTGCACATGCACTTCTTAGGGCAGACAGGTCACAGCGGATCCTAAGAAGTTACCAGAATTCTCCAAATTCGTGGTCACGCTCGACCCTGTCTCCCATTTAATCCCGAATACTTTTCCACGACACCCATCACCTTTTCTTGAACTGTGCACCACAGGCCATGTCCAGTTATGATTTATGGGTGATGCAGACTATCAACTGAATCAAAGCGGGAGCCATTGGGTTCAGCTGTTTGGTTGAGTTGAGCATTGAAACCTCGAGTAGTAAGCTTCCGGCAGTGCCAGAAGTGACTTACCGTCCTATAGACCTTACTGACTTAAGCCTGTCCACGATTCAGGCAAACAAGTACTCGACGGTTTGACTGGCCTCACCGGGGCTAACGATCATGGCTAAGTATGTGGGCAGGCTACCTTCTTCTGCAGGGTCGCAATAGATTACAATGTTCGGATGGTTTCAGACGCGGTTTAGCTCGTTGGAGTAATTAACCCGGATATCTACTGGCACTGCTTGTTATGACAAGCAAATAGGGAAAGCGATTTTAGTGGAGATTTCGTCCTGTGCCTGAAACTGACCTGTGTTGAAATGCCTAGAAAAACTATACAGCGGTTTGATCCTTATTGGAGATCCCCCGTAGTGCGCACCTCACGAGACTCCAGACAGTCTCGAACCCGCGGCCCCACAGTTAGTAGTTTGAACGCGTCGTTCTTACTTCACTCACTGGATCCACATCGCTGGTGACAAGTGTTGACTGGTTCCACAAATTTCTCTGAGGCTTCGTGAGATACGCACTGCTGACGATTTCCAATAAGAATCAAACAACTGTGTAGTGCCAAACAAGTGTTTACAAATGCATGTGTTGAGCGCACGTCCACAGTCAGTGAGAGGGGCCGAACAACACTCACGCGCACTTGTTCGTGTTGTGCACGTGTACGTGTTGTTAACTGTCGCGTAGAACAAATAGCCGCATTGCTACTTCTGACAACTGACGTATACTCATAGACCGATATGCATTGTAGATGCGCAAGCCCCACTAAAAGATCTTTACTTCACCATGGAGCTAGACACATGTAGTATGCCTCTGTGTCATTTTAGGGTCGCTGAGAAGATCCGAACGAGAACGCCTTTGCTCCTGCTGCATTGGTGTTGCAGTGCAAAACTTTTCTGCAAGTGACAGTGATGCGTTACGCTGACTACATCAAAGGAATACCCTGGCAGACTCACATGAGGCTTGTCTTCTTCTCAACATATGCCAACAATACCTTGAATCGGCAATAAAAATACGATGGTGTTTTAAACAGTGGAGAATTCGAGAGCAGGAAAACTAACCTCGTCATCCTTGATATCTTTCAGTGTGTAGCTCACCACGCTGATTCCCATATTAACCAAATCCGAACTGGCCACTTCAAACTCGGCCTTGGAGAACGTCTTCCTCTTCCACGGTCATGTTGCCCATTATGGCGCGCTGATGACCTTCCAGCGTTTCCTTGGCAATATCACGAATCTCTGCTACTGTTTTTCCCAAGAACTGCTCACAAGCAGCTGCCAACATTTCCTGGTTCGCTCCATTCACCTTGACCTTGTGGAACGAAGGGAAGATGGTGTCAGACAGGAAACCACTGTCTACAAATCGCGGTCGATAGAAAATGTGACGAAGAAAGTTAGCAAATGGCTAGAGTAGTGAATAGTTGAAGAACGACACTGCCGGGGAGGATAGTGGAAACATGCATATATTGTGTAGAAATAAAGCACCACTTTGTTGGTTCAACATTCCATGTACAATAACATAAGGAAAACTCAGAAAAACACTATCGGCTTCTAACTTAGAGCACTACTCTTTAGCGGAACAGGACGGACACAAGGAAACGGCATTAGCCTTGATAAAGGAAACTACTCACAAGATTGCTGAAAACTCTTCGACAGCCCACGACCGGTTTAGCCCTTCTTGGGGCTAATCAGGTAGACGCAATCCTCGAGTTTCCGCCAAACTTATGCTTTACTTAGTTCAAGTCACATGACCGGTGCCCTCGGACCGGAAGATTTTCTATCATCGAACGTATTGAGAATTAATTGTGTTCGGGCCATTCGGGTCACTTCCTGGCATTCGAAACATCACTGTTGACATCGACAATCATATCGGACATGAAGTGAACACTAATCGCGGAATCAACGCACACCTCTCCGGTCAGGCCATCGTTCTAACTGACTCCGTTCCGTTTTGAAAGTGCAGATTGGGGGCTTCAGTTCGAATTCAGGAATGATGTGCCCTTGGTATGTCCGCCAATGTCCTGAGCACCTCGTATTGTAGTGTTTCTGGTGACCAAATTCTAAGGTAATGTTTCTCCATCTTTTATTCGCAAGCGCTAAGCCTGCCTAACACTTAGAATCAAACAGACTTCACCTATTGTAAAGACAGGCTGGAAGGAGTCATTCTTTGTTATCACTTTGTTAAGAGGGGGAGATTATAAATTTACATATCCTGTAGGTTTAGTTCTTGATTACTATTCCACTGTGCTTGTACTTCACTATTAAGGATGGTGGAATTAACTGAAGTCTGCAAAGGTACAATCTAAATAATCTAAATAAGCACATGTATCCTAGGATTCCTAGGCCACATTGGCCGTCAGTTGGCGTCATCACTGCCCCCCTCTAATTCCTGCACACATCATCATCATCGACAGCATGACATCAGCGCTCAACAGTGATGCTTCGATGCCTCCTTTCTACTTGGGATACTTATTTTCCTCCTCCCACTCGGTTAATAGTGCTATCTTTGTAGGCCCATTATTTATGACTGACGACCCCGTTCGCCCTGCATCGGTCTTGGCAACAATATATGTGCGTCAGGTGGCACCGACAGCCTCACGCGCTACTTCCCGATTGCCCAGACCGAAGAAGGGGTTTGTCTGAGGTACCCTAGTTTGAGCTTTTGACTCAAAAGTCCGATCCACAAGGCACTGGGAGGAGATGAGATTTTGTTTACGGCTCCTGACCCGTATAGCAACAGGTGTCAGAGCTTTCTTGGGGAACCCTGCCAAAGTTAGAGTGACCTAAGAGTTTGGACCACTTGGATGTGGGGATTGCCTAGGTTGAGGCGCAGAGAATAAGGTATATTCACCCGACACCTGATGCTAATGTGCTTTCTGAAAAGAATCAGGTTCTTTGGTTTTTGGGTCGTAGTGAATAATGCTCTGGCGGTTATGGCCAGCCGTTGGGCGAACGGAGTGTTCTGCTTTAGAGTCCACTTCTTCTAGCCCGCCCTTCACTGAGGAAGGCAGCATCGCTGCTTCCAAGAACATTGGCGAAACCCCTTACTACCTTCATACTCCTATCGCAGAGAACAGTACACCATTATCTCAAAACCATCTCGTAATACGACTACTTGCAGTACATTCACTCGTTGACGCTTATTTGGTTCGGCATTCGCAGCCTAGTTGAAACCTATAGCCAGTATGATCACAGCATCATTCAAGCCTGATCATTACATCAAGGTGACAGCCGTTGGTCGGGTCCTGAGGAGGTAAATCCAATGAAACACAGCCAGAGTCGAGATAAGGGCTGTAAAACAAGACGGTAGCGCAAAATCCGAAGCTCCTGGTTTGTGCGATATGAAACGATCAAGTTATTAGCGACGGGTGCTGACTCAACTCTAGCGCTGAGAAATGTATTGTCAGTTTAAGATCAACTTCTCTCAAAAATACTGAAAAAACCCTGGATTCAAAAAGAATCGGATTGGTCGAACTGTAGGCCAGTGACCATATATAGTTATTGGTCAAAGGAAGAGTTCTTCTGTCTGAGGGATAACGGAAGAACTAGGTGATTTTTCTGCACAGCATATGGTGGACTTCTTGTTGGATAGGCGCTCTACAATCGGTAACAACGAAAACAAAAGAAAATATCGGGTTCTTCACAAACAAACGGCATTGTGTGTGTGTGTGGTTCCGTAGCTATCTGCCACCAGGTCCAAGCCACTCGAGTGAACATCGATGCTGTGGCAGGATGGTGAATCAGGATAGTTTGTGTTCTCAGCAACTTGGCGAGTCAGCACATATTAAATTTGGTTTAGTCACGTAAGTGGTGCCCATTATGGTCCCTCCTCCCATGAGGTAACAGATTTTCTTCTTAAGTCTTGTTGGGTTCGTTTCCTTTAAAAAGAGGAATTTAATGGTAGAAGTTCCGTATTATCAAAAATATTTCCCCACTAGGTAGTGTGCACTGATAGGGTAACTTATATTTAGTCGGAGAAACTTCAAGGCAGGCTATAATGGTGGTAAGGACAGTGAGCAGATAGGTCTTAAACCACGTGGCTGTGTAACACGTAGAAGTGTGAGGATATGAGATGTAGAATAAGATGAGGTATACTGGTGACCTGCATCAGCATATTAGTACTCGGGATCAGTTTGACTTCAGACGACAGATGTACGGTTTTGGTCGCTCAAGAGTATCCGATAAGGTAGGACAAAGACAGTTATTTTTCTACTCATTATTGTCAGCGAATTTCTGGCCAGAGTTGAAAGCCAACGTGAGAAAAATAATAATCGTCCAGCTCTAAAACACTTTCGGTGCCTGGCTGCCGTGCCACCCGAAGGAAGCACCAAGACTAGGATACTGCTAGGTTGCCCAAGGCTAGACAGGGGAAGTCGAGAGGCATAGGTCGGGTTCGAACCACGGACCTTCCAGTTAATAAATTCCCGCTCTAATCACTGGGCCATCCAGCCCCTCCCCTGCAAAAAAACGATACTGCGATGAACAAGTAAAACACCAACCTGAGCAACTCCGGTAACGGTGATTGGAACCCCGAGTTTGGTGTAAATCCGTGGACTTTCAATTATCAGAGTCATCGTATTGAGTGGCATCCTGATCAGACAAAAAAGAAACCCACATCAGAACTTCAATGGATTGGTCCAGTGAGAAATTCACTATACAGTGAACGAGGTTAGGTCCAGGTTACAGGCAAACAAAAAACATGCATAGAGAACAGATACAGGAAATCGATATAGTGTGAGCAAAACATGAAAATTGAAGCAGAAAAGATGTGACAAACAAGAGGTGACGATATGTACCCTTCCTCCCTCAGCTGACTCGCCGTTTGCCTACGGAGTGATGCGCCGGGCTAAAAGACTGCTCACGACTCATTGTGACCTCAGCAGTTCCACTAAAGTGCGCTTCCGAAAGCACAACAAAGCAAACAGATGCAAATGTATGCTTCGCTTGATTGACCAAAGAGAGTTATTAGTCACTGTTAACACAAGTTCGTTTTGCAGTGATTGGACACGGATCGATATGTAAGGGGAGTCTACTGTAACAGAACCTAAGGCTGGTACAGTAACTATGGGGTTCGAACCTTCTCAGTTAGTAGGCCTGGTCAGCCTTAAGCTCGCGAGGTAGCAGCAGCTGAGATAGAATCACCAAATTTGATCCCACCAATTCAATAATCTTCAACGGTTTTCACTGGAGTTCATGTTGGTCCCAACTTCTTTGAGGCCTACTGTTCTGACAAACAAGCGTGGCGCTACTGGAGGGTGCTACTGTGGGATTTCGGAGGCAGAATAATTTTTTGCTACGCAGTTGTTGAATCACAGGGAATAATGGGACCAAATGCCAGGAAAACCCCGTAGGAAATTCAACCAGAAAGAAGGCACCATTAGATCGGAATGAAGTCGTTTTCTTCATCCGGAACTTCATTGCATGATATGTTTTTGTAGCGAAATGATGCACTTACCTAGCGAACCTTCCGACTCATGAGACATGGCAAGATCGGACGTTCGCATTAGGATCTAATCAAAACGTTTCTGAGGCTTGAGGATGCAAGCGCAAAATCTGGGCGCATTGGAAGAGTTAGGTGATAAGCAAAGGACAGTTAGAAAGTTATCCTATCAGATCGAACCGTTCAGCTCTTTCGACGAGTAAATGTAACGTAACCAAACAAAAGCAAGGGCTCATGGCACTATTGAGTGCATACACCGAGATGGAAGCGGACCGAGTCAATTATGCCTTCGAAACGGGGGACTGTTCATTTCAGAATTCAACTACAGTGTCACAAATTTGCATGCTAGTCGTTTCACTCCCCCCAGCACCACAAAAAACTAGTGAAGAAGAAACAGATGTTAGATGTTAAAAAGTATAAACAAGAAACGAAGATATGATGGTTATTGCCGGTTGCCACTTGCGTTGAATGTAGTGGTTAAATACTCACCGCTCCACCCTTTGCAAACAAGGCCAGATAAACTTTCGTCCACCAATCACGTGAACGGGTTTTCGCAGGCCACATCCTTAAAAACACGAGAAACGCACACCAAACCTGGATAAAATATTGTAACGGCAGCCTACAGGATAAACATCGAGAAGGGGGGGGGCAGCAAACAATTTCCCGGCGAAGAAAAAAGCTAGAAAAAAGGAGCGTTATGGCTCCAGCTTTTGACTGATTAGCTTTTATAAATTCGTCGATTATCGAGACGGCTATGTTAAGGACCCATTGATGTCTCTGAGTGAACCGGACAAACACTGTCTGGAATAACATGCCTGCATCACGAAACCAGTAAAAAAGTGTATCCTTCAATAAGCTTTATTGTATGACGAGAAGAGAGCCGGTAGTATGTCGATAACCTGAGAGAAAACCCAGCAGAGAATACATAGGAAAATATTCTACTTCTACTTGAAATTAGAACTACTTTAAAACGAGGTCAACCGCGTAACTCATTCACTTGGCCTGACAAAGCTTTCGCGTCAAAGATGAAATGAAATCCGGGGGTTATTTGACAGACCCCGCTGGAGCAGCGACCTCTCGATCGGTTTCGAACATTTATCAGTTGATTAGAAAAACGGCTATAGCACCTGTATTCGCAAATTATCAAATGAATACGTTCGAATGGCGAGACTGCTGAGCGAACTCAGAGAATCATCATGTATTCAACATAGGACGTCTGGAGTATATCATAATCATATCTGACTGTTGAGCCACACAAAACGTCTCTCACTTGTCAGAATAGACTTTCCATCTGTTAGGTTATTCCTCAGATACAGGGTACAGTTAACCACACAGAGCTTTCGTAGTGTCCACCACCAGATTTGTAGGTTCAATCGTGATCTACAACCCGTACACTATCCACAGATCTTCAATTAATCAGCATCCAAAAGGAGAAAAGTCGACTCAAGGTCCACAGTGTACAGCAAGTGTGTGAGAACGCTTTCTGTCAGAGTGGCGGTTGAGGTTCGTAGTAAGTAAATAAGAGAAGCATTGACGCCTAGTGCTGAGTTCACATTTCAAAAAAATTCCTTCCATGGAGGCGAAAGAGATAAGGGACAAATTGTCACAGTAGAAAATAATAAAAAAATGTTCAGCTGTGGTACCCTTTCGGTGCCTAGCTGCCACGCCACCCGAAGGAAGCATAAGGGTTAAGATACTGCTAGTTTGCTCAAGCCTAGACAGAGAAAGTCGAGACGCCGAGGTCTGGTGCGAACCACCTTCTAGTCAATAAATCAACGCCCCAACCACTGAGTCACAGTCCTGAAGTCGCAACTATTAGAGGCCCCAAAATATTGCACCGGCGGAGCGAAGGCTCTTAAGTACCTTAAAATAAGTTAACAGTATCGTAATGACCAGAAATGTTTATTTGTGTATGTGCTATTCAATGGGGACCGCGTGATCCTCACTGTGCCTGGTTGGAGACACTACAAGATATGGCTGCCAACCGATGTCAGTGGCGTTCTTGTTGTCAGTTTCTGTCCAGATAGCCTGAGTGAATGTCTGGAGGTGTAGGCACCTCGGAATGATTGTGTTAAGCTAGCACCAAGTCCCTCCCCCATCCACCTTTATTCTTTTCTTTACAATAAGGCTTTCAAATAAATCATTGTTGTACGGCAATGAGGCATCGGTGTTGAACACTGATGTCATGCTGTCGTTGATGATGATGATGAAC